ACAGCGGTGTTGGCATTTACAGCGGTGTTGGCTTTTTCAGCGGTGTTGGCATTTACAGCGGTGTTGGCATTTCCAGCGGTGTTGGCATTTACAGCGGTGTTGGCATTTACAGCGGTGTTGGCAGTTACAGCGGTGTTGGCATTGACAGCGGTGTTGGCATTTACAGCGGTGTTGGCATTTACAGCGGTGTTGGCATTTACAGCGGTGTTGGCATTTACAGCGGTGTTGGCATTTACAGCGGTGTTGGCATTTACAGGGGTGTTGGCAGTTACAGTGATGTTGGCATTTACAGCGGTGTTGGCATTTACAGCGGTGTTGGCATTTACAGCGGTGTTGGCATTGACAGCGGTGTTGGCATTTACAGCGGTGTTGGCATTTACAGCAGTGTTGGCATTTACAGGGGTGTTGGCAGTTACAGTGATGTTGGCAGTTACAGTGATGTTGGCAGTTACAGTGATGTTGGCAGTTACAGTAGTGTTGGCATTTACAGCAGTGTTGGCATTTACAGCGGTGTCGGCAGTTACAGCGATGTTGGCAGTTACAGCAGTGTTGGGAGTTACAGCGATGTTGGCAGTGTTGAGATTTAAATTGTTCAATAAAATCAACGTAACCGAACATTGTTTCAGATACCCCACTATTCCAAACAATTTGAGGTACAGCACTATTCAACTTTGTTTCTATTACCCCAAAACTCAACTTTGTTCATTTACCCCACAATATCAGATACCCTAAGATTCAAAATAATCTCCGGAACACCACTATTGAAATTTCAAAACAATATCAGATGCCCAACTGTTAAACATCTATTAACAAAAATTCCTTTTAATGTTACAAAGAACTGAATAAGCCCTTGCACCTCATGAAACCTGACTATTAAATGCATTGATTTCCCTAGCCAACTTGGACAACTATGCCTACATGATGCCTGTGCTGAGAGCTCTGATTGAGAAAGGTCAAGAACTCTTGACCACCAGCATTCATCTCCCTCATCTACCCAAGTCATCCATGAGTCCCACATTTTTTGATGACTTCAAGACATACGTGTACAGTGATGAATGGCAGATGTTCATAAAGAGCTATGTGAGTATGTGCACAATTGGAAGACATTCATAGAGAGTGTGTCCAGTGATGAATTGTAGACATACGTCGAATATGTGTACATTGGCAGACATTCATAGAATGTGTGTACAGTGATGAATGGCAGACATTCCCAGAATATTTTTACAGTGATGAATAGCGTCATATATTTGTTGCCGTGGCTCTTGTAGGTCGGACCCCAAATGACCCACTTCATTGAGATGAACTTTTAGGAGAGTGCCCAGATCATGATGCACTTCTGGTCAGACTGTCATGAGGAGATGATGATGAACCATCACAAACATAACAGAGAGATAGGGGAGAGCAGGCTCAGATTTAAGGTAAGAATGATGTCCCAAAATTTTTCTAAAATCACTAGTCTAGTTTTTAACCAATCTTTTTTTAACCCCCGCACGCTCGAGCTGAGCACCTAAAAAAAAA